CCGCAGAGAATCTACAGAACTCAATACCCCACCATTCCACCACCCCACTACCCCACCACCCAACCACCTCCACTATACGCCTTGTTCTGTACATTCTGTACACACACACACACACACACACACACACACACACACACACACACACACACACACACACACACACATATATATATATATATGTGTGTGTGTGTATATATGTATATATGATACAGAAGGCGGGAGTGTAAGCCAACAGACAGCTAGTCTTCTTCTTTTGTTCGCTTGACAAATGTTATCTATATCTGGAGTGATGTCTCTAATACGAACTAGTATGAACTGTTGTCTCTAGTACGAGCAGCCATGACATCCGCGATGTTGCACAATTGGCCTGCATACACACACTATCTATAAACATTCATGGTAGATTTCAGTTTGACAATGTTCTGCCATCTTTAATGTGTTACAGATATAAAAGTATAAGGCCTTAATGTTGTTATATTATATAACGCACTTGTAGAATATTTTAAAACTATCCTTTTTTGTTTTTGCGATTTTATTTTTCAGATTGGAGGCCAGTCTGCGGGTGGATTCGATTCCTCTTTCTTGGCCTTGCTACCCCAATCTCGAGATTTATTTACCAGAGTTTATTGCGAGAGTGGAGCTACAGGATCTAAAAACACACTCTTGATAGCAAACCCGAGACCTGAAGCCATCAAAATCAGCCGAAAGTTGGGTTGTCTTAAACAGGGACAGCCAGACCCCGTTGCAGATTCCGAATTTGAGAAGTTGGTGGACTGCCTAAAAAAGCTGCCAGCTGAAAATTTTGCCGTCAATGGAACAACTGAAATTCCAAATCTGCAGTCAACTTTATCTAACGATCTGTTCCCTAAAAAATTGGAAGACCTGCTCTTTGATGAGAACTACCTGAAATCTTTCAACTTCTTTGACAGGGATTATCTTGTCAGTGTCACTGACAATGAAGGGGACCTATATAACCTCATGATTAAAATGTTGCTATCCTCACTGCCTCCAGCAATGGCCAGGTTTATAACTCCCCAGATCTTGTTCTATCAAGCAGTCCAATCGTATTTGACACAAGGGTTTGGGCCAGTCAGTCAGCAAGTCATACAAAGGGTTGCCGATTACTACGGGAAGAACTTTCGCATGGATCCAGTGGCAGACTTCATCAGTGACGCTCTCTTCAACATCCAGTCGTTGCAGTTCGTGACTGCCGTTGCTGCTGAGCGATCTTCAGAGGACAGCAGAGTAAGTGTTAGGTAAACTTTCATGCAGTTTGTCTATAGATTGACCAAAGTTTGCCAGAGATAAAATGTAGTCCACTAGATCAAAAATTAGAGGGACGCCGGTGAAGATCGCAAATGCATCGTCTTGCCTGTGACCTAGTCCAGAAAAGATACCTAGCAAACAAGTAATTGAAGGAAGAATAAGTATATAAACACTTGGTCGTCCAAGTATGCTGACTACTCTAATATGCTACCGCAGCAACTATAAATAAACATTGAATCTCACAGTAGGTGTTGCATAGTTATTAATTTCGTCTTGTTCTCTCCGAGAACGTCCGCTAATACGTGCAGCAGGAGCAGATCAAGCTTCACGAACTCAGGTGAGCCCACCCTCTGAAATTGTCTAGGAGCTCGTGGGCCTAAACAATTGTGGACGAGGGATCTCTTCTACTGATGATTGCTGTACATACTCCCCTGTGGAGTTTCTTCTTACTTATCATAAAGCATACTACAATCACCATATAGTATGTATGCCAAAAGAACAATAGGCAATCCACCGAATAACGGTCCTAAATTATCGGGGCGGAAAATATACCCTAACAGGGTCTCAGTCAAGTGTCAATTGCGCTTTTCCAGGGACTATAACGCCACCGCCGATTTGCGAACTTCTGGCAACATCCGCCACCGCCTAAAGTGACCCCCAAGCCGCTCACGTGGCGTGGATTGGGGATAAACTAGATGGCTAGGACTCACGAGCAAATAAAATGAAGGAAGCTGCAGGAGATGCGGTACCTACTGCTCTTGAGTCCTAGTCATCTAGTTTAGCCCCAATCCACGTCGCGCGAGCGGCGCATGGGTCACTTTCGGCGGTGGCGGAGGTTTCCGAAAGTTCGCAATTCGGCGGCGGCGGAAGTCACCGGAAGCTCGCATTTCAAGACGACGGAACTGCGCAATTGACACTTGACTGAGGCCCTGTTAGGGTATATTTCCGCCCCGATAATTTAGGAACGTTATTCGGAGGATAGCTGAAGAATGCTATATACATATACAAATTTATGCCATACGATTATCAAAGGTCAATAAATCAGTTAATACTTCTACTTCAAGCCACCATGGTAAAACGATTAGACGCTTACTGCAGATCTTAACGAAAAGCACTTCGGCTTCCAGTTTGACGCAACCTTAAATGTGTACCAGGTAAAGGTCCTGGAAAGTAAAGGTGGCCGGCGTGATGCTGACCACACCACTAGCTGAGCGCTGACTGATCTATCAAATATAGGTCTAGTCCTGAATGCACAATACCCTAAAAGCATGGACAAGTGCCCTTTACTTCGATTCCCAGGTGAACTGATTTCAAAATGTGCGGTTAGCCGAATATGCCCTTGAACACACAATTGCTACATGGCAATAACCTATTAAATTTGTTTGACCTTGACATGGGTGTAATAGACACAACTTTGATCTTGAAGGTCGGAATTGTATTGTGGAAGATAAATGTCTTATTTTAATCACTATTATGTTTGTATTAATCTACAATTACACATTGCTCTACAGGTACACTTATTTCAGTTCGTGTACAAGCCTGAATATATCATTCCTCCCGCTAAAGGGATGCCTCATGCCTTTGACGTGTTATACTTGTTTGACATGGACCTGGCTTATTTCACCGAATTTATTCCAATGAAGGTTAGAAATCCCTTTGCAAAAATAGATGTTTTCTTTTAGTAATGATTAGACTTTTGTTGGGCATATATTGACAAAAATCTGGGATAGTTTGGTCTGAGAATAGTTGGTTTTATCTCATCGGCATATGTGCTTCATTCTTTTCATAAAGTTCACATCAAGAGATTCACAGCACAGTGCACAAATGTATGGCTTCGAGGTATGCCGCAGCCTCCAGCTGACGCAGACTTCACAAATGAGGACCCAAAAAAACAAAAAAAAAATCAAACGACAACCGCAAGAGTGAAAAATGGAGACTGTGTGGATGAATGAGCCATGACAGGGCAGTGTAACGTGCACAACCTTTTACTGATCTGGCTTATCTGTATGCAGACTGTTGGTACCTTTAGGAGCAACTCCAGCAGTTGTCGTTATAAAGGTAATTTTAGGAGCAACTCCAGCAGTTGTTATAAAGGTAATTTTAGGAGCAACTCCAGCAGTTGTTATAAAGGTAATTTTAGGAGCAACTCCAGCAGTTGTTATAAAGGTAATTTTAGGAGCAACTCTAGCAGTTGTTATAAAGGTAATTTTAGGAGCAACTCCAGCAGTTGTTATAAAGGTACCTTAAGGAGCAACTCCAGCAGTTGTCGTTATAAAGGTACCTTAAGGAGCAACTCCAGCAGTTGTCGTTATAAAGGCACCTTTAGGAGCAACTCCAGCAGTTGTCGTTATAAAGGTACTTTTAGGAGCAACTCCAGCAGTTGTTATAAAGGTACCTTAAGGAGCAACTCCAGCAGTTGTCATTATAAAGGTATCTTAAGGAGCAACTCCAGCAGTTGTCGTTATAAAGGCACCTTCAAGAGCAACTCCAGAAGTTGTCGTTATAAAGGTACCTTTAAGAGCAACTCCAGCAGTTGTCATTATAAAGGTACCTGTAATAGCAACTCCAACAGTTGTCGTTATAACAGTACCTTATGGAGCAACTCCAGCAGTTGTCGTTATAACAGTACCTTAAGGAGCAACTCCAGCAGTTGTCGTTATAACAGTACCTTAAGGAGCAACTCCAGCAGTTGTCGTTATAAAGGTACCTGTAATAGCAACTCCAGCAGTTGTCGTTATAAAGGTACCTTTAGGAGCAACTCCAGCAGTTGTCGTTATAAAGGTACTTTTAGGAGCAACTTCAGCAGCTGTCCTTGCAAAACTGGTTTTAGCTGTTGTAGCAGGAAAAAAAAGTGAACAGGTTGTTGGCGTAATTGACAGTGGATAAGACAGAATAAATTGCTTGTGTATTTAGTTCATATCTGTGAGAGTGAGCATTAATTCATAGCTTTCATTTTTTTTTTTCTCCTAAAAGGTGAACGGCAGCAAATGGAACAAGAATGATGACTTTCTAAGGCAGAGGTTCATAAAACTAGTTGCTGATTTTATCAAAACAGGGTTCGTATTTTCCAGCTTAAGTATTTCCATTTATAGCACATAGTATATTATATATATAGTATATAATATATATTATACTCAAAAAATACAATTTATCTTGAAAGGGTTGAGAATAGTGTACACAGGCTCCTATTTCATTTGACACGTCCCTTACATTATACAATGGAAAGATATAAATATCATGGAAAGATATAAATATCATGGAAAGATATAAATGTCACGGAAAGATATAAACATCATGGAAAGATTTAAATATCATTGAAGGATATAAATATCATGGAATGATATAAATATTGAGGAAATGTTTAAATATCATGGAAACATATAAATATCAAGGAAATGTATAAATATCATGGAAAGATATAAATATCGAGGAAAGATATAAGTATCATGGAAAGATATAAAACTGAACGAAAAGTAGATCAGTGCCCTTGACCAAGAGGAGTAACAATAATGGAAAATGGAGAATATAGGCAGTGGCTAATCGAGGTTATTAATTTACAGTTAACAAAGACTGACTAACACTGACAGAGCATAAAAGAATACATTAGTAAAGAAAGAAATATATAAACAAGGCAGACAATTGAGAAATCCCAAAGCTATAATTACACTAGACTCAAACCCACACTCCAAACAGCATGTTGCCTAACATTAACTCATCACTGTTGCACATTTCAGGAACCCAGCCAAATCTCTGACCTCTGAGCTGCCCTCAGGCTGGCCTGGGTTTGACCAGAAACAGCAGCAGTACTTGGAGTTTGGGCTCAACTTGACAGTCAAGCAATATCTTATCAAAGAGAGAGTACAGTTGTGGTCAGAGCAGATCCCCAAGTGGATCCAGGAGTTCCCTGTAAATCCTAGAGTACAATTAGCTTCAAGTATATCAAGTACTACTACTTTAAGTATTACAAATACTACTACTTCAAGTACTACAAGTACTACTACTTCAAGTAGTTCTATTCGAAACAACTGTTACCTTAAACTAACAGTGGCTGTCTCACTAGGAGTTCAGATAATGATTGTTTTGAACAGATTTAGTGAGTAGCAGTGGGGTAAAGAAGGCAAAAGAAGAAGTGGTAATTGGTATGATTGACACCCTATTTAACCTTTCTGGGCTACATCTGGTTTATAAATTGTGTCTTTTCACACACTGGGTATTTTTGTTTGTTTAATACTTGTCGATTTGATATTGCTTAGATTATAAATGGTTGTGTGATAAATAAACAGATTATAAGTTCAAAGCCAAATGGATCATAATCGTTACTTTTCAAATAATAGTGTAGTGTCATACTTACTATGTTATCTCTCTGTGTGGGTTCCAGAGCAACAATGAGTGACCCTTTTCCTCACTTTATACCTGAAAGGTCACTAACGGTTTGTTGGAATCGGATGTGTTGAGTCATAAGATGCAAATAGTCCGTCTGGCTGTTAAAACACACACACACACGCAGCCCTTTTTAGGGTGACCATAAAAGAAGAAAGTATAGTTGTCCATCAATATTAGGTTTGAGGTTTCAACAACGGACCAACATCATGGCACACAGGTAGTAATCCATTAGTGCTCCGTTCTTCTTCTAACTCAAGTCTGAGTCCGAAAAAACTCAGCACAGTGCACAGGCTCTGAAGCACCTGCAAGGATCCTGAAATACTTTGGGTAGATTTTTAACTCCAAATTTTACCCGGGCAGACCGTAAGGCTACTCTTTTCGATTTCCAACTGGCAGAGGATTTTTTTTTAACTATCCAGAGACCAGGGAGAATTACTAAAGTCCAAGTCCACGTGAAAAAATCCTAAACCTTATCGGGGATTGAACCCAGAACCTCTAGCACTCGAGACGGACACCATGCAGAGACCATGCAGCGCCCCCCCCCCCCCCCCCCCCCCCATCTATATTATTACCCATATAGCAATGTTTATTCTCGTAAGATTCTGTTTAATATATCCATTTACTTTTTTAGAGCTAGCAATGTTTTCCATTGTCATTGTCTTATTTGCAAAATGTCCCATATTCACTTAAGGGTGATCTTTGGAACAAATCTTCTTGCCAGTTTCATGGCTGTTAAATGATGTTAATGCAACAACTGTATAAGGCACGCCACACAACCCACCTGCACTGGACTACAGGCTGCAACATAACCATTTTGTGGTGCCCTAACAGATGGTTTATTTTTAATGACCTTATTTTTCAATTTTTTTTGTTGTTGTTGAAAATATTGCTGTTCCTATTCAAGTAATCACCGTCTGTGGAGTTAATGCAAGCTATACTGCTACAGTGTGTCCTATTTTGGGTAGTTTTCCACATTACAGCTTTGTTTGTTTACAACTGATTCTACTGGTTAAATTTATTACAGTATTAGAATGAGGCCCGTGAGTATCAAGAAATGACACCACTAATTGTTGAACAACCCTGACACCGGTAACAAATACATGCTCAACCAAAGATACTTTTTGATTTTTCAATAGTTAACACCATGATAGCTAAGATCAATTACTAAGACACTGGTATATAGCAGTGATATTCTAAACTAACTGCCATATGGAGCTTGAAACATCAAGTAATACACAAATTTAACTATGGTAGGCAAATAACTGAGGGTCATTAAACATATACCCTATATCATTGTGGAAGTCGCTGTGGCAGAGCGGCAAGACGCGCCCAGCTGATCGGAAGGTCGTGGGTTCGCTCCCTGGCAGCGCCAGAGTTTTCTTCAAAAATGAAAAGTGTTCTTTACTTTTTCAAAAATGACCTTGACTTCAAGGTCGACCCAGCCTTGAGTGGGTACCGGGTGCAGTCCAGGGAAGTAGAGGCGGCCGGCATGATGCTGACCACATCACTAATCTTGAGCCGTTGGTCTAAAAAAATATAGGTCTAGCCCTATATGCCTAAAGGCGTGGAAAAGTGTTCTTTCCTTTTTTTTTACTATATAACTGTGCTGTTTGGCTGTACCGTTAACAGGGTTTGCTTGATTTGCAAATGCAAATCTGGAGGGAACAAAACAAAATATATATATATATATATATATATATATATATGTTAAAGGCTTGGTGGAGTCAATGAAGCATACCATATGAGGGGGGAACAAGTAAACTGTTTTGTTTGTGCTATTCTACATTTGACTTCTTTAATACAGGTTTTTAAAATAAAAGGTTTCTGGTACGGATGAAAAGTCAAAGGTCAGAATATCCTATTATGGACACTGTTAATTGGAAATGAAATGTTAGGTCTTCACCGTTCTAGGCTGCGGGGAAAAGGAGGTGGCCGCTTTATTTTTTTAAATAAATTTTTTAACTAATTTCAATAAGCTGGGTCACAACCTCAGATCTGCAGTTTTTGACAAACAATAAATTTTCAATCTATTGTAATTTACTGTTATCACAGCACCCAAGTAGTTGAATTTGGCTGCCAGGTCAACCCAGCCTCCAATGGGTACTACGTAGTCCTGGGAAGTAAAGGCGGGCGGCGTGATGTTGACTACATCCCCTGAGTGCAGCTAGACCTACAAAATATAGGTCTAGCCCTATATGCCCACTATGTCTGAAGCGTTGACAAGGGTCTTTCACTTTAAGTAGTTCAATGTATCAACTTAGAGACTTGTCCCTTTTATATTTTTAGATGGAATTTTCTTTCCATTGGATCTATAAATGCCTATTTTTCCACTACTGAATCTAAGACCACATTTGATGACTTCTGGTCCCGTTTGGCAGATAGGCTGGACACAATTTGATTAAATCAGTTTTAATGCTCTAATATACAGATATATGAATTACAAATGCTCTACCATACTGTATAAATGTACTAAATACAAGGTGATCAATGAAATACACCAGCTATAAGTAAATGCACCTACAAGAACAACAACTGTACAAAAATAGAAAAATAGACATTTTAATATCACTTACAATAAAAGAATGACCAATTGTCCTGCATGTACTGTAGACATTCTGGGTGACAGAATCACAGATACAATTTGTTCTGAGGTGAAACATTCATGAGTGTATATTATTACTAAAATGTAATTAATATAGATCTCGCTGTGTGAGTTCCGGAGCCTATTGTGCGTGTGTAAAGGGGGGAGAATGATCCACTGCCACCTAACAAGCATGTAATAAGAGTCTACTCATTAGGGGTGTTTCCATCAAAGTGCATCTGCCTGAGAGGCACGGAACCAACAGTTTGCATATAAATAAACCAGATCGGTAAAATGGATGTACATGCACAAAAGAAGAACAACAGGAAGAGTGAGAGGGAGAGGAAGAAAGAAAAAGAGAAGACAGAGGAGGAGGAGGAAAAGAAGAAGACTATATATAGATCAAAAGGAAGAATAGCACAGCAGAAGCAGAAAACAGAAACATTACTACTTCTTTTGTGTCTGCTCTAAATAGGGCAGTCAGCAGGTCACGGCAAGGCTGCACTAAAACTGGAAATCCAGAATTCTCATGTGGAAAAGTATTACAAAAATTGGGATTAAATGTAACATTATGGAATCAGATCAAATTTCTACAATTCAGTTGTTTAGCCAAATAAAGAGGCACAACTCCTTGTTCAGACGTAGCAGAGACATCTGCCTCACAATCACAGGGTTGCAAATTTCTTTGGAAACTTAAGAGACCAAGCCATATGGAATCAAACCTAGTGCATCAAAATCAATTCTCTTGCCTTTACAATATTTATAAAAATATAAAAAAAAAAGCATGCTTTGTGAAAGTAAACAGGAAGTTACAAAGAGAAAAATTTAACAGGCAGAACAGATACTGTCAGAACAATGCTTTCTGGCAAATACATTGAGAAACAGAAGATCAAATAGTTTCAGCATTTCATTAGAATACAACATCAGCACTTACTAGCACAACCAATACATCTTAAAAGTCTAGTAGTTTTAGTTTCAGCTTCATAGCAAACGGGTCACCCAATAGTTGCTCCGCTCCTGTGCCAACAAAAAACAAACAGAATGTTTATCACAGTCCCTTTTGGAAAGATTAACAGACTGTTGTCTCAGCATATCTAGCATACACATGCATTAAAAGCATATGGTAGTCATCCGAAGTGCTAACACAAACAGTCCGACATTAGAAATGCAGTTCATCATTGATGGTAGCAGAAGCCACCAACAGATCAGCAGTTGCACATGCGATCAATTTTAATCACATAAGGGCACCACCAATATTGCGACAACAGACCACGCGCCATTTTCTGAATCTACACTTTACACCACCAAGTTGGTCAGTCAAAAACAGTCCAAATGAAATCCGTAGCTCACAGTGTCATGCCAGCATTCAACTCAGAAGCTGGGCGAAGAAACTATCCTTTCAGTCTACAAACTGAGCAAAAATACAAGGGCAACCGTCGAACAGAAGCAAACAATTTGCCTCGGCTCCAAACAATGCTCCAAACAGTGCCTGTGCCTAGCGTCCATTTTGACCGGAAGGACCAACATCTCAAAAGGTCTGCCTAAGACCTAGAGGTCAACTAATAAGAAGATGAATCGACAACATTAAAGACATAATTCATTCACACTAAATGACAAAAGCCAGTGCCACTTATCAACTTCAGCACTACCAACTATTCTTCCCCACGACGACTGGTGGAAAATCTGGAATATGATGGCATAAATTTAGGCGCTCCAACAATGATCTATCCTGACAAAACACAGGACTTTTTTTCTGTCAAACCAAACATATAAGTGGCAATGATTTGCCATGAACAAAAAATACTCTAAAATTGGTTCTGCTTGATCAAACCAAGGATTCCAACAATGGTTTGTCCTGACAAATCAAAGGACCAAAACAGTTGTGTGACCAGGTGCCAACAATGAACAAATCATGACAGGAAAGTGTAACTTATACAGAGAGCCTGTGTCTGCTCAGACAGAATACACTAACGTCAGCAGTTGGCTATAAACATGATGAGATTCAGCAGATCAACAGTGAAAGCACTGGTCAACAGAATTATTCAAGCAGGACAAGTGGCTAAAACTGGCCTAAAATGTCCATATTTTGATTTATGTGACTAAAACTGATGTTACTAGACAGCAATCAAAATCACTGGTGATCATTTGTAAACAATGACAAACATACTTGTACATTACTGATAACACAACCTGAATTATGTATTACATGTACAGAACTGACTGCACTAGCCACAATACCAGAATTATAAGTGTTGGCAATTGTAACACAGTCCGACAACGGAAAGTTCACATATCTGGCTTATTTGTATGCAGACTGTTGATTACTTGCCTCAAAGGCAGATGCAATTAGGCTTGAAATAAAACACCCCAAATTAGTCTTCTAAGTCATGCTTTTTAAAGGGGCAATGGATTTATTCCTTTCTTCCCCAAAAATAGACCCCTGACACCCACAAGGGGAAACAAAAAGTTTGATAACAGATGTCTGTTGGGGCTGGTGGGTAAATCAGACAATCTCATGTATGTTTGTTCAGGCTGGTGGGTAAATCAGACAATCTCATGTATGTTTGTTCGGGCTGGAGGGCAAATCAGACAATCTCATGTATGTTTGTTCGGGCTGGAGGGCAAATCAGACAATCTCATGTATGTTTGTTCGGGCTGGTGCATAAATCAGACAATCTCATGTATGTTTGTTCAGGCTGGTGGGTAAATCAGACAATCTCATGTATGTCTGTTCGGGCTGGTGGATAAATCAAGCAGACAATCTCATGTATGTTTGTTCGGGCTGGTGGATAAATCAGACAATCTCATGTATGTTTGTTCGGGCTGGTGGATAAATCAAGCAGACAATCTCATGTATGTTTGTTCGGGCTGGTGGATAAATCAGACAATCTCATGTATGTTTGTTCGGGCTGGTGGGTAAATCAAGCAGACAAGCTCATGTATGTAAATGTGACCTACTTTATTTCCATAAAATATTCCACAGAATACTACATTAATAAACCACTTTATCTTCTACACAACTCTGCATCATTCATTCAACATGACAGACACTTTTGATCAATCATTCAATATGCCCACTTACACCATGTATTCAGTCAAATTTATAGAATATAAAATCTTCTATAATGCACATAAAATGCCACTTTAAACTATTAATTCCAAAATCCACTTTCAAACACTTATTCAGTCATCCATACACATGTTTTCGCTATACAATTTTCAATTATGCCCAAGGAGCCCTCTATCCACCATCCAACCACTATAGCACTGTCAATCACCCATGTAGTACACAGAATATCAGATCCCCCACATAGCACACAGAATAACAGATCCCCCACATAGCACACAGAATAACAGATCCCCCACATAGCACACAGAATAACAGATCCCCCACATAGCACACAGAATAACAGATCACCCATGTAGTACACAGAATACCAGACCACCCGTGAAGCACACAGAATAACAGAAAATATCAAGTAAGCAAAACTATATATAAGTGTAGGCTTGTTGCCTGTTTGGACACAATATTATATTTAATTTGATTTCATATTTATCACTGAAAAATATATACAAATAATCTGAGAATCAATATTAAAAAAAAAAAAAAATACAATTACACAAAGTATTAACAATAATGCTTGTGTCCAACAGTTAACCACCAAAAGAGATTCAATTTACCCACTTCTCAACAACAAAGCCACATTTTATAAAAACTAAACCAAAATATTTTGTGTTTGTTCTTCTTCTTTACGTCCTCTTTTACAGCTTTGGGTGTCCAGGGAGATTTAAAGTCCTGCATTGTGCTCTTCTTACTGCTTTGACCAATTACACATCATGGTGCTGTAGAATTTCTCTGATGTTATCTTCCTATAATGTTTTTGGTCTACCTCTTGCTCTACATCCCTCTCCTTCATACGGCATTCTCTCCAAGTGGGCACACCATTTGATTTGCTATCTTTGTATGTAATTCAGAATTTCTTATGTGCTGACTTGATCTCACATGACCTCATTCTTGATTTTATCTCGTATGGTCACTCCTACAGAATTTTCTCAGACACCTCATTTCCATGGTTACAAATTTTCTTTTATGTGGGCTGTATTGGACTCTGCTGCCTCTTCTCTCTTCTCCTCTAGAACAGATACTATCAAAGAAAATTACCAAACATATCCATGATAGCCGCGGACACATGCAATGACACTAAATGCTAGCTCACGTTAACACATATTAAATCACATCTTCCAATATGTTATTAAAATTAGTTTAACAACAAACAATTAATTTATTTACAATGTACAACTGTGAAAACTAATATCTGCATCAAAAACAGCAGTATTTGTTCCGTGAAGGAAAGGTCTACTTGCCAGATCTCATGCTGACTTCAATCTGCAGCAGGCTTGGTGATAAAGGATGCCAAGTTGGACGCCTCTGACGGCAGCTGTGTCAACTGGACCTCTTCTTCCCGACTGTTACTGTCTGTGTCGTCTGGAAGATACAAACACTCAAGTTACTCTTTCGCTTATTATAATTACGGGAGTTGCTGTGGCGTTGGAGGCTAGATGCCTGCCTGTGAATCGGAAGGTCGTGAGTTCGCGTCCTGACAGAGCCTGACTTTTTTTCAAAAATGACCCTGACCTGTAACCTGACTCCCTGGTTGTCCCAGCCTTGAGTAGGTACCAAGTGCAGTCCTGAGAAGCAAAGGCAGCTAGCTGGCGTGGTGCTGACTACATCACCCACCAAGTGCCGATGGTCTATAAAAATAGACCCCCCCCCCTCTACCCAATCAATTTTAACAAGTATGTCATCACGCACCATTTGGTAACTACCTGTCTGCTCAATCAGTATGTTTCCCGTGTGGGTTTCGGGGACCTATTATAGGGAAAACAAGAATAGACCTGCTGCCCACCCAATAGCATGTCATAAAAGTCGACTAATTGGGAGCTTCCTTTGGAGTCGGTTTGCATATGCCTGAGAGGCAAGGAACCAGCAGTCTGCATACAAATGAATCAGGTCTGTAAAAGGGATGCACACGCAACACTCAGGTTCTGGAACAGGACTGCAGTCCAGAAGTGGATGAACAACCAGAACTGTCCGCCAGAGTTTACAGCTGGTGAACGCGAAGAAGAAGAATCGGCGCATGATGCATGCAGGTTTAATTTAACTACCGACCATTATAAAAAACATAAACCAGACAACTGAAACTTTCTTTCCGGTGGCTACAGGCGGAGGAGCACACTGGGAGGATACCTGCCTTATCCTAAGAAGAGGAAATGCAAACTGAAAACTGTATGTTATGGCAGGGTAGACCAGGCCCTTAGCCTTGGCTAGCAGCTGGTCTAGGAGAGAAGCTCCAACATGCAGACAGACAGACCAGGCCCTTATCCTTGGCTAGCAGCTGGTCTAGAAGGGAAGCTCCAACATGCAGACAGACAGACCAGGCCCTTATCCTTGGATAGCAGCTGGTCTAGAAGGGAAGCTCCAACATGCGGACAGATAGACCAGGCTCTTATCCTTGGCTAGCAGCTGGTCTAGGAGGGAAGCTCCAACATGCAGACAGACAGACCAGGCCCTTATCCTTGGCTAGCAGCTGGTCTAGGAGAGAAGCTCCAACATGTGGACAGACAGACCAGGCCCTTAGCCTTGGCTAGCAGCTGGTCTAGGAGGGAAGCTCCAACATGCGTACAGACAGACCAGGCCCTTAGCCTTGGCTGGCAGCTGGTCTAGGAGGGAAGCTCCAACATGCAGACAGACCAGGCCCTTAGCCTTGGCTGGCAGCTGGTCTAGGAGGAAAGCTCCAACATACAGACAGACCAGGCCCTTAGCCTTGGCTAGCAGCTGGTCTAGGAGGGAAGCTCCAACATGCGGACAGACAGACCAGGCCCTTAGCCTTGGCTGGTAGCTGGTCTAGGAGGGAAGCTCCAACATGCGGACAGACAGACCAGGCCCTTAGCCTTGGCTGGCAGCTGGTCTAGGAGGGAAGCTCCAACATGCAGACGGACAGACCAAGCTCTTAGCCTAATATTAATGTCCAACTTTAACTAGTAACAGAAATTAGTTATTTGAGCAGTATTCTAATATTATTGCTGCACAATCCCTGGTGAATCTGATGTATAATATGTGTATGCTGCAAGGCAGCTGAGTTAGTATGGTCTGTTCCAATGTGTTACACTTGTGACATTTTAAAATTGCAGTAGCACCCCTTGAGCCACAGATATGACTCATAGAGTCACTTATGGATGTTTACTTTGAAGTCACAGTGTATCTACCTGATGTCAAGGAACCAACAGTCTGTATACAAATAAACCAGATCGGTTAAACGGATGTGCATGCAAAATTAAAGTTCTAGAAAAAGACTAAAATTCAGAAAAACTCCTTGGAACCCACAAAGAAAATATCTGAATGTCTTCTTCTTCTTCTTCGCGTTCACCAGCTGTAAACTCTGGCGGAAGGTTCTGGTTGCTCGTCCACTACTGAACTGCAGTCCTGCTCCAGAACCTGAGTGTTGCGTCTGAATGTGAAACAACAGCCCTTTATGATAATCTGCAGTATGTAAGCTCAGACCAACTAAATCTTACCTGAACAATAGCTGGGCTTGACTAAAAACAGATCAACTCACCAAGTTCAGAGGTAAACTTCTTATGTGAAGGGGCATACAGGCTCAACAGTGCTATGACGTACACATTCCACATCCCGTACACACCTGCGTATAAAAAAAACAATAATAATGATTGTATGAAAGCATGTTCTAGAAACATGCAGTCTCTGTCTGGTCAATTTCAAAAAAGGCATTTGTTGACATTTCCTCTCACAATATCCACAACCTTGATCTATTTCTGCTTCATATGTCCTCTCGCCTCCACACACACAAATTTCCTCCCAGATTTAAATAGTCACTGAATACTGCGCACAACTTAATATTTGCAGGCGTGAATGTGAATAAGCTGTGAATAGAAAGAACTATCAAATTTGTATATAGAAACTTTGATGAACATAAAAATAAGAAATCCCCCCCCCCCCCCCCCCCCCCCCCCCCCCCCCCCCCCCCCAAGAAAGTTCTAAACAAAGTAGGAGCAAAATGAAAACTGGTCAAACATAAAAGCTTCACAAACACTTTCACAAATATTTTGGGCCCACAAAAGGACACCATAATGAACATCATGCTATTGTAAAGAAAGGAAGATAAACACAAGTAACTGGATTATAGTTATGATATATCCAGTGATGATGGATCAAGAGTCCTTCCAGCAGGCTGTGACATGAATGGCATTCTGCAAAGAAAGTGTTACCTGTTGACCACACATAATCATCAGGTAGAAGGTTCTTGCAGAACACCTTGTGCTGGGTCACTGTGCAATGATGAATGTCAGACCATATCCAACTTTGAAGGAAACACCTTTAATTAGTCACCACATGCTTGTTGGGGGGGGGGGGGGGGGGGGCAGTGGTCTACTATTTGTTTGTTTATGTTCCCCAAAATGGAGCCCTGGAACCCGCACAAAAATCACTAGTTGTTGACAATTTGGTGGATCACTGACTCTGTGACCTAACCCCATCTCAGCCCAAACAAAAGCACAGGCTGTATGTAACATGAGTGAGATCACTTGGCATGAGGAGTATATTATCTTCCATAGTTCATTCTTAGTTCAGATCATCATTATCAAGTGACTAGCTGTGCCAGTTTGATGCTCATTTGCTTTGAGGACCACGCTTTATCCTGATCACACCCATCTTCCATCATCTCAGAGCATTCATGGTGTGAGATTCTTCTTACTGAAGCTCTGATTTGATGGTGTTGCCAGGCAGCCTATTCAATCTATTAATTCCATCAATTCTTTCATGTCTTGGTAAGAAGATGAAGTTTGTTTTAAACAGTGGAACCCCTGTCAGGATTCCAATGAATGCTGATGGGCAGAAGCTGGTTTGATTTTCTCTATCATACTCAATTAAAAACTTAATTATGAATTCACATTCAGTGTCTTCTCATCAACTGATCCCTTCCCCACAAATATCTTCTCACCAACTGATCCCTTTCCCACAAATATCTTCTCACAAACTGATCCCTTCCCCATAGTATTTTCTCACAAAATGATCCCTTCCCCACAAACAATGCTGTTGCAAAACAACTCAGAGATTCCTGCAAGTACGTTAGTTACCTGTGAGGAAAGCACTTGTATACTCCAAGCCGACATCCTTATCTCCCCACTTCCAATGGCCCTCACTGACCTGGCCGATGATGAAGGAGATCACAGTCAAGGCTGCACAAAGCAACGTTACAGCCATGAGGAACTTGAAACGGAAAATCAGCCCCTGAAGATAGAAACAGGTTCATGTCCACTGGTCAAATCAACTGGCAGATTCGTGACTGCAGACATTTTGCAGACTGACCAACAGAAAAAGTAGTCATTTTTTTCCCCTTTTAAACTGAAGATAAACTGGATACCAGGAAATGATCTCTGATGTAAAGGTGGCAACATGATAATAACCACTTAAAGTGAGTGCAAGTTTGGTGTTGGACCATTAGTATTGGCACATCTGACAGCTGTTTATGCATTTTTACTTTGCAAGTGCAATTTCAAGATTTTGCTGGGACCGACAAGTTTTTTGCTAGATTTCCAATAGGAAAGTGAAGGACATTTTGTGTGATTTCTCCTGATACTGTGCCCCATGACTGCTACAGTCATGGGGCACTCCACTGCAGAGATGTTGAAACCTCGACTAACTTACAAAACCGAAAGACAATGTTAGCAGCAGGGTTCTGGTGAACTCAAATCTCTGAAGCCATCAAACATCAGAAAAGGAATGAACGAAAGAAAGAATTATTTTTCCCAAGGGTCACAAATTAGGCACGCAAGCCCGTCCTACATTCACCTCTTCCAGACACTCATCTTGCACACATGACTTGTATCTACAAAGCACGTTATCTTGAAACAGACAAATACCATGAGGTTTTCAGGAGATAAGTAATAGAAGGCCTGGATCCTTGAAGATAAAACACAGGGGGATCATACAAGGCTCCAGTAGCTTCCACTGTTTCTTCTAGAAGCAAACCGAGTTTAATTTGTAAAGGATCACTTTTATTGACATGAACATCTTCACAAGCTCTCCAGTTTTGTCCTGTAGATCACACACCAGGAGATGTTCAGTACTGACTCCAAGCACTATAGCCTCCCTCTGTGTGTGCGCTCGCTCGCATGATTTGTGTGTGTGCGAGCCCATGATTTGTGTGTGTGTGTGCACTGTGGTTTGTTTTTTTAATTTGGATATTGTGCCTGAGCAGAGGCCTATTTAGCCTGCTCTTTTTGGTTTTCAAATGCTCAAAAATGTACGTGCTTTTGCTTTTAAGTGTACATTTTTTAAAACTTATTTTCAAAAATGTCAACAGTTAACACAAAATACAAATCCTATCCAAAAGAGGTAGACATTGTACTCCCTGTTTACTCCACTCATTTGCGGAGATGAATCTTCATAAAAGAAAAATATATAATTCTAATAATAAAAGTGCACATTACATTCACAATACATACCAAATAATATTTGCGCCTGAGGGTGGACATGTGCAGAAGTTTTGTGCGCTTGGAGCGGATGTTTCTCAGCACTTTGAACACCATGTAGCAGAGAAACACAAAGTACAAACAGGCAGCTATGCCAGCAACAATGATAAACCCAAACTAGAGTCCAGTCAAGGGCAACAATTTGTTAACTGTTTTTTTTTTTTATTCTATGTATTTAGCTTTGAAAGTGTCTTGTTTAACCTGTATGTTCATCTTACAGTGACTTGTTTATTCTGTGTTCAACGTAACGTGCATCTTGTTTATTCTGTGTTCAACGTAACGTGCATCTTGTTTATTCTGTGTTCAACTTAGAGTGTGTCTAGTCTATTCTGTGTTTAACTTAGAGTGTGTCTAGTCTATTCTGTGTTCAAAGTAACGTGCATCTTGTTTATTCTGCGTTCAACATACAGTGTGTACTGTATATTCTGTGTGTTTAATTAGAGAAATTCTTGTTTATTCTGTGTGTTAGGCTTAGAGTGTGTCTGGTTTATTATGTATTCAACATAGAGTGTGTCTGGTTTATTCTGTGATCAACTCACAGTGTGTCTGGTTTATTATGAGTGTTCAATTTAGAGTGTGTATTACTTATTCTAGTGCTTCGTATTGCCGGGTTCGATCCCAGCTGGGGCCATGCGCCTTGCCCAGGTTTTGACAGTGGTATCAAAGAAGTCGACCATCCAGAAAGAAATGGCAAACTACTGGACGTAAATTTGTTAGAAAAACCACATAACAGCCAGGGGCTGTTGGGGTTGGTTCTGCAACGTCCTGTAAAGGATACGCAACTAACCTAACCTTACTTATTCTGTGTTCAATGTTGAATGTGCCTTGTTTATTTAATTTAGAGTGTGTCTTAATTATTCTGTTTAACTTAAGAGTGTGTCCTGTTTATTCTGTGTTCAACCTAGAGTGTTCTGTGTTCAACTTTGAGTGTTTCTAGTTTATTCTGTGTTCAACTTAGAGTGTCTTTTTAATTATATGTTCAACTTAGTGTGTGTCTAGTTTATTCTGTGTTTAACTTAGAGTGTGTCCAGTTTATTGTGTTTAACTTAGAGTGTGTCCAGTTTATTCTGTTTACCTTAGAGTGTGTCCTGTTTATTCTGTGTTCAACTTTGAGTGTTTCTAGTTTATTCTGTGTTCAACTTAGAGTGTCTAGTTTATTCTGTGTTCAACTTACAGTGTGTCTAGTTTATTCTGTGTTTAACTTACAGTGTGTCTAGTTTATTCTGTGTTTAACTTAGAGTGTGTCTAGTTTATTCTGTGTTCAACTTAGAGTGTCTAGTTTATTCTGTGTTAAACTAACAGTGTGTCTAGTTTATTCTGTGTTCAACTTACAGTGTGTCTAGTTTATTCTGTGTTCAACTTAGTGTGTCCAGTTTATTCTGTGTTTAACTTAGAGTGTTTCTAGTTTATTCTGTGTTTAACTTAGAGTGTTTCTAGTTTATTCTGTGTTCAACTTAGAGTGTGTCTAGTTTATTCTGTGTTCAACTTAGAGTGTGTCTAGTTTATTCTGTGTTAAACTTAGAGTGTGTCTAGTTTCTTCTGTGTTAAACTTAGAGTGTGTCTAGTTTATTCTGTGTTCAACTTAGAGTGTGTCTAGTTTATTCTGTGTTCAACTTAGAGTGTCTAGTTTATTCTGTGTTCAACTTAGTGTGTCTTTTTTTTCTGTGTTCAACTCAGAGTGTCTTATATATTTTGTGTGTTTAATTTGGTGTCTTGTTTTTAATTAAGTTCCAAGGATTGACACAGATAATCATGACTCTTTACAACTATGAATTACATTGTCATTTATTTTTCTTTCTCTACACTCTATACTTTCAGTGTGACTGTCACATCTAATTATTTAACGCTTAACTTCAGAATCAAGATATAAGGCAGTAGTGGAGTCACAGCAGAAGTTAAAGATTTTGTGATCTGCATATTTCAACCGAAAGGATTCATTTCTTGTGCCTCATTATTTTGTTCTTCTGATCTTTATTCCACAAAAGAGCACATGCGGTCCTACCAACTCACGCCGAGTCATCCTATCCTCTTCTACTGCATGTAACTTACCCCATGTCCTCCCCAACTTTTTAACTCTCAGCTCTCTAGCTACCTTCTTCATGGGTTTTAGGTCTGTCTTTACTTATAAGCCACTGTTGGTTCCAGTGAAAAGACATTCTAGTTATATTGTTCCCAGATTTTCTCGACATGTGTCCTCAGCAATGCCAGTGTCTTTTCCTTTCGAATATGTTTCATTATACGTAGGTTGATATAACTGAAATACGCACATGAAAAGAAATAGCAAACTATGCCAGGCAACAAATACTCTTTGTGTCTTCATTATTTCAAAAGCGGCAAACATTGCTTTAAATATCTATCTTAACTGTGTCTTGATCCACAATATTCTAAGAATTTTTCTGTAACTCTTTTAAGTTTAAAAGTTTCACATTATCTTCTGTACTGTTTATGAATGGACACTGATCTTAATAAAAATACATATAATTAAGACTGTCTTCAACTGAGCAAGCTGACACATACTGGGGCACACATTTAGTTAGCACTAGGCAACAGCAAGGATACGGCAGCAGCAGCACCCACTGGGGAATACCAGATACTGTAGAATGGATTCACCAGCTGTCTACCTCTGGGGACAGACAAAGTCAGCAAGTGACAAATGCAATCATATTCTTGAACATCTCAGTGGGGACAACAAAGTCTGCAAGTATCACATGCAATCATATTCTTGAACATCTCAGTGGGGACAAAGTTAGGAAGTGACACATGCAATCATATTCTTGAACATCTCAGTGGGGACAAAGTCAGCAAGTGACAAATGCAATCATATTCTTGAACATCTCAGTGAGGACAAAGTCAGCAAGTGACAAATGCAATCATATTCTTGAACATCTCAGTGAGGACAAAGTCAGCAAGTGACAAATGCAATCATATTCTTGAACATCTCAGTGAGGACAAAGTCAGCAAGTGACAAATGCAATCATATTCTTGAACATCTCAGTGGGGACAAAGTCAGCAAGTGACAAATGCAATCATATTCTTGAACATCTCAGTGAGGACAAAGTCAGCAAGTATCACATGCAATCATATTCTTGAACATCTCAGTGGGGACAAAGTTAGGAAGTGACACATGCAATCATATTCTTGAACATCTCAGTGGGGACAAAGTCAGCAAGTGACAAATGCAATCATATTCTTGAACATCTCAGTGGGGACAAAGTTAGGAAGTGACACATGCAATCATGTTCTTGAACATCTCAGTGAGGACAAAGTTAGGAAGTGACACATGCAATCATGTTCTTGAACATCTCAGTGAGGACAAAGTCAGGAAGTGACACATGTAATCATATTCTTGAACATCTCAGTCAGGTGGTCAGAGCTAAGGTAGGAATCCATTCTGTCAGATGTTACTGTTTTACAATGTCTGTTCAAAAAGTATATGACGTTAACTGGTCTCAGGGAAACAAGTCAAATATGGAAGGCGTCTTCAGGAATAAAGAGTGAAGAAAACCTTCATGCACGTGTGTGCATTTTTTCCTTCCGCCCTCAGTATGCGATTAAGTTAGTGTGGTAAATGCCTTTTGGACTTTCAACTGCTGTGAAACAACTTCAATAGTGGTGAAGTTTGGTCAAGTTTGAGCTGAGAGACTCACCAAACTATTGCTGACGATGCCACGGCATCGCACAAATGAGTCTGTCAATGATGACCAAATTAGTGAGATACATTTAAACAGATCTTATATCTTCTCTTAAACAGAAATGATTATTAACTGAAAATTTTAATTACATATTAACATCAAAATATCATATTTGCATTTGTTATTTTTCATATTGTAATTTTCAGAAAGCATTTTTTTTAAATATAGCCCATTCAGGTAATTCCATTTCCACAAGTTAATATTACAAGCTTGTGTAATATATCATCATCATGTAGCAGGTTATTTGCAGAAAGTTGCCCTCATCACAGTCTGCCTGAAAGAAACTTGGTCTCCTGTGAAAAAGACAAAGATGAAGATGAAGAAGAAATGAGGAGGAGAAGAAGGAGGAGGAGGAGAAACACATTATCAAACAAACACAATCAGTAAAGAGTGCCCTACCTCTCAGACACATCAAAAATGAGCAGAGCCAGGCAGGCAAGAAGAACCACATTATCAAACAAACAATCAGCAAAGAGTGCCCTACCTCTCAGACATATCAAAAATGAGCAGAGCCAGGCAGGCAAGAAGAACCACATTATCAAACAAACAATCAGCAAAGAGTGCCCTACCTCTCAGACATATCAAAAATGAGCAGAGCCAGGCAGGCAAGAAGAACCACAGTTAAATGTTTCCAGTAGGCCGCGAGACGGTTCCTGTCTAGCTGATCCTGAAAAAGTAACAAAACAATATTGTAAACATGTCACTGATGAGTTAATGTCATCTTAGTCAAATAAGTTATAGCTGATCCTGATAAAGTAACAAAACCATATTGTAAACGTGTCACTGATGAGTTAATGTTATCTTAGTCAAATAAGTTATAGCCGATCCTGATTAAGTAACAAAACCATACTGTAAACGTGTCACTGATGAGTTAATGTCATCTTAGTCAAATAAGTTATAGCCGATCCTGATTAAGTAACAAAACCATACTGTAAACGTGTCACTGATGAGTTAATGTCATCTTAGTCAAATAAGTTATAGCTGATCCTGATAAAGTAACAAAACAATATTGTAAACATGTCACTGATGAGTTAATGTCATCTTGTAGTCACATAAGTAATAGCTAATCCTGATAAAGTAACAAAACAATATTTTAAACATCATGTCACTGATGAGTTAATGTCATCTTTTTGCCACATAAGTAATACTGTAAAAATATGGTCACACATATACCAGGTCACTAAGAAGGACTGCTAGGATCCTATACTCTTTTGGTAAAAAAAGTATTTAATGAATGAGTATTGACGTATACAGTCTGACAATTTTAAGAAAAGTTTTAAGTTTCATGAGTGAGACCTTGTGTGATATACTGGGGCTTAAGATGGTAGTGAGAAGACAAGATACATCCAGCACCCATGAAGAGAAGGTCACTGCAGCAATAGCATCTGTAACTCTAGACATGATTCAGAAGACATGGCAGGAGAATGAATGCTGTTTAGACACCACCAGAGTTAACAATGAGACTCCAATCGAAATGTACTAAGGCAAGTCTTATTATTCTTCTTTGCTTGCCAGCTGTAAGCTCCAAGGGAAAGTCCTGGTTGTTTGTCCATTTGGACTTTGGCTTTGTGCCAGGCCCTGAGTTTTGCATGCACATCTGTTTTACGCCTATTTGTGTGCAGCTGGTTGTTCCTTGCCGCTTGGGCAGACGCACTCTGACTTTAAAGGGAATCCTCTATTAGTCGACTCCTACGATATGCTTGTTGGGGAGGCAGTGGGTCTATTTTTGTTTTTCCCACAATGGGGTATCACAGAACCCACACAGGAAAAATAGTCTAAAATTTTGTTAACTTTTCTGAACATTTTAACTCTACCAGACCGCTGGCCCGCTATTTCCTAACCTGCCGCTAAACTGCTGTCCCTCAATGTCAGGAATTTGCATACTGTGAGGAATCAATCAGTCACAAACTAAAAATAACTAGCCAATCGCAATGAAATCTCGTGGACAGTCTTCCTAGATGTCCACCTGCATGTGTATGGGTAAAATTTGTGTTGTTTTACGTGAAAAAATTCTGAAAATTCACAATAAAACGAGCATCTGATGAACCGAGCACTGCGACAGGAAAGTAAAGTATGTCTAGGCTTTTCAGTCCACTAGGTGATCAATACTTTGGTTGATTCAGACTTTGTGAAGTCTAATTTTATGAAGAATACGTTCACAGTTGAAGTGACACAAACAGTGAGAGCTGGAATAATAAGGAGAATCTTGAAAATTATAAATCTAGAAATAGATCGAAAATAGGAAAAGGGGATGTGTCCCTCAAAGAGCAATATCTAGTGTTCACTTTGTGAAACAAGGTTGATCCTGCTGGGTGGTTTAGCACACAAAGGTGGAATATTGGCGCTAGATAAAAGGTTAACCTTTTTCTACAGTGTCTCCAAGTTTCATCTTATTCTAGCCAGTTCTTTGCATGTAACTAATATTTTTGTATATTCGCGTTAATGCCCAGCAGCTCAGGTATAGGAGGCAGTTTAGGTTCAGGGCCTGAGGTCTGGTAGGGTTAAGATGCCACACGTGTATTTCCAGTAAATACTTCTTTTATACTACTAATCTAAAATCATATGGGGAGGACATTCACAAAGACAAAGAGTGTATCAATTATGTCAGTAAACGTTTTTGGAATAGCACTCCGTCACATTCTTGCTGATTGTCGAAAGCAAGGTGTGACCCTAGGTGGACATAGTGAAGGCCAGCTTACACCAAATGCCATTCGTAAGATGACAATTTATTACAACAGAGCCATAAGGAACAACACAAGCGTAGAGTCCATGAGGATCCATATTATGGCTTCATTGCATCATTGCTTTTCAACAGACGAAACTCCAAACCATCAAATGTGCCCAAGTGGACAGCAATTTTGGTGTATTTTTTTTTCCAGTCTACCCTGGTTAAGCGTGAGTCCCTGGGCACTCATGACAAGATCTTACACACATGGCTCAACTAAAAATAAAATGACAGGCAGTCTGACCCTAAACTATTTAGTAGATGTGTTTCAAGAAAAACTCAGAATTCAAATGAGTGTTTACACAGCCTGATCTGGGCTCGCTGTACTAAAGACAACTTTGTTTCACGCAGGTGTGTTCAGTTTGCAGTAGTAACTACGCCAAGAGAGTTCAACTTTGCTGCTGCTGCTGTTGCCCAAGACACTGCATGGTTTTTGGGGAGATTGTCTTGAAAAAAGTAACATTTTAAAAATTGTGTAGAAAAAAAATGGCAAATGATATCATAAAAACATTCTGTCATTCTGTACAAACAAAATAGAGCCTGTATATACAAAAATCATGGTTTTAGACTATTCCCAAGAAATCCAATATGGCTGTTGTTTACCGTAGCTTCCATAGCAGAAATTGAGTGCAGTCAATTAGACAGTATTTTATTAACCAGCGGTGTTCAATATAAAATCCTACATTGTATCAGAATTTAGAAATTAAAAAGAATAAAATTTAATTTAAACCCCCGGGGCTCAGAGTTAAAATGGAGGCTAGCTTGCTGTGTTGTGGTTTACAGCTAGGCTCAAATATCCATACTTTTTGGCCCAACACAACCAATTTCAGCAAAACAGCAATTAGTTGCCTCTTACAACATGCTTAACTGGGAGCAGTGCAACTCATGGGCCCCTGATTCCACATGGTGATGAAGATATGAAACACATTCTACAAGCAATACAGTACTAACATATAACATAATGTGTGACATGTGTGTGCTACTTTACCAGCATATGTTCCCCCACAAAGATGATCCAGAATGACAGCAGCATGGCATAGAAAGCTCCGTCCCGGATGTCGTTGAGCAGCATCATGAATGGCATGTTGACAACCAGGGTCAGCCACTCAACGGGACCTGGGGAGACAAGTAGGAGAAGTTTCAGGCTGAGTGACACTGACCAACGCTGGGGAGACAAGTAGGAGAAGTTTCAGGCTGAGTGACATTGACCAACGCTGGGGAGACAAGTAGAGGTTTCAGGCTGAGTGACACTGACCAACGCTGGGGAGACAAGTAGGAGAAGTTTCAGGTCGACTGACACTGACCAATGCTGGCGAGACAAGCAGGAGAAGTTTCAGGCTGAGTGACAGTGACCAACGCTGGGGAGACAAGTAGGAGAAGTTTCAGGCTGAGTGACACTGACCAACGCTGGGGAGACAAGTAGGAGAAGTTTCAGGTCGACTGACACTGACCAATGCTGACGAGACATGCATGAGAAGTTTGAGGTTGACTGACACTGACCAATGCTGGCGAGACAAGCTTGAGAAGTCTGAGGTTGACTGACACTGACCAACGCTGGGGAGACAAGCAGGAGAAGTTTCAGGCTGAGTGACAGTGACCAACGCTGGGGAGACAAGTAGGAGAAGTTTCAGGCTGAGTGACACTGAACAATGCTGGGGAGACAAGCATGAGAAGTTTGAGGTTGACTGACACTGACCAATGCTGGGGAGACAAGCATGAGAAGTTTGAGGTTGACTGACACTGACCAATGCTGGGGAGACAAGCATGAGAAGTTTGAGGTTGACTGACACTGACCAATGCTGGGGAGACAAGCATGAGAAGTTTGAGGTTGACTGACACTGACCAATGCTGGGGAGACAAGCAGGAGAAGTTTGAGGTTGACTGACACTGACCAATGCTGGGGAGACAAACAGAAGTTTGAGGTTGACTGACACTGACCAATGCTGGGGAGACAACCAGAAGTTTGAGGTTGACTGACACTGACCAATGCTGGGGAGACAACCAGAAGTTTGAGGTTGACTGACACTGACCAATGCTGGAGAGACAAACAGGAGAAGTTTGAGGTTGAGTGACACTGACCAATGCTGGAGAGACAAGCATGAGAAGTTTGAGGTTGAGTGACACTGACCAATGCTGGAGAGACAAGCATGAGAAGTTTGAGGTTGAGTGACACTGACCAATGCTGGGGAGACAAGCAGGAGAAGTTTGAGGTTGACTGACACTGACCAATGTTGGGGAGACAAGCAGGAGAAGTTTGAGGTTGAGTGACACTGACCAACGCTGGCGAGACAAGCAGGAGAAGTTTGAGGTTGAGTGACTGACCAATGTTGGGGAGACAAGCATGAGAAGTTTCAGGTTGACACTGACCAATTGCTGGGGAGACACTTTTAACGTTGTTTTGACTAGAAATTTAACAAGACAGTAAGGAAGAAGCATGCATCCAGCATGGCTCTTCCTTTAGGTCCCACATTGGCAAGTGGACCTAATGGTAATGGGGATGTCAGTTTTTGGTTAGACATTTGAGACTTTGTATCTATGCCATAGGACATCAGATGGACATTTAAGCCAAACCAGCACACAGACTGTTGTGGTGTACCCCAAAGCGGTGACGATGACGCTGAGGAACAGCAATGCATGTTTGGAGACAGAACTGTTCCACAAATCTCTTGTTTTTTGGGCTGATTCTCAGCAGTATAATAATTCTTCCCACTTAACTGATGTTTTAACCTAGGTTTGGCATTTAATAGTATTTTCAGCCAGCGAACTTTACCTATGTTCCAAATTAGCTTTGATAGTCGTTCTCACCCAATGCATTAATGGTTGACATGTGAGCCAGGCTGGGCACTACACATCTAGAGGCCACCAACTCTGAGATCCCTTGTCAAATTGGTTCAGGTCACAAAGGTAAGCCTTTATCCGTGGCGTACGACAAGACGTGCGCCAGAAGTTGCGTGACGATCCATAAAATCATCCAAAAGCTAGCAACGGCCCTAATTTTCCCTCACGCCTGTGACTGATATCACCGCACCACCTACGCTTTTTTATCAGCAGACTGTGTTGAAATGTCTTTAAGTTATGGCAGTATGTCTGCAGTCTGTGATCCTGTCTGCAACCTGTGATAGTATGTTTGAAATCTGGGATGGTATGTCTCAGCTGTAGGTTTTGATCATATGCAACCTGTGGTGGTATGTTTGAAATCTGGGATGGTATGTCTCAGCTGTAGGTTTTGATCATATGCAACCTGTGGTGGTATGTTTGAAATCTGGGATGGTATGTCTCAGCTGTAGGTTTTAATCATATGCAACCTGTGGTGGTATGTTTGAAATCTGGGATGGTATGTTTGAAATCTGGGATGGTATGTTTGAAATCTGGGATGGTATGTCTCAGCTGTAGGTTTTGATCATATGCAACCTGTGATGGTATGTTTGAAATCTGGGATGGTATGTCTCAGCTGTAGGTTTTGATCATATGCAACCTGTGGTGGTATGTTTGAAATCTGGGATGGTATGTTTGAAATCTGGGATGGTATGTTTGAAATCTGGGATGGTATGTCTCAGCTGTAGGTTTTGATCATATGCAACCTGTGGTGGTATGTTTGAAAGCTGTGATGGTGTGTCTCACGTATGACAGATTATCCGCACTCTATGGCAGCATGGCTACAGGTTGTGACAGTACATCTGTAACCTGGAGGTGATAAGTCTTAAGTATGACAGATTATCCTCAAGCTATGGTGGCATGGTTATAGGCCGTGACAGTATGTCTGTAAACTGGAGGTGGTAAGTCTTAAGTATGACAGATTATCCTCAAGCTCTGGTGGCATGGTTATAGGCTGTGATGGTGTGTCTGTAACCTGTGGTGGTGTCTCAAATTTAACAGATTAACAGCCAGCTATGGTGGTGAGATTGTGACAGTAAGTCTGTAGCCTGGGTTTCAAAACTGTGTTGATATATCTGCAAACTATTGGTTCCTTTAAGCAGACTAAAACAGTACCGAATATATAAGAGAAGTAAACTACTGATCCTAACAGTGACCTCTGACATTTCAATGTGTACTTGTCTGTTAGCCATAAGCTCTAACATGGGATACATTTTCTTGATTATACTTACAGTTCATGATGGACAGCACCACTCCCAGAGCAAACAGGGTTCTGTGAGAATCAGAAAACAATACTAAACTGATGATTGGTACTCTTGAATACTGACTGACCGAGGAAAAGAATGCAGAGAAAGAAAAAGTACATTAGTTTTCAATAGTTAAAAACCTAGATAAACACTGATGTAGCATTCTGTTGTTACAGCTCCAGCTTAGAATTGTCTGCGTAGACCAGCTCTGTGGTACATACAGTGCTGTTTGACTGTCGTTAATCTACCTGAATCAATCTATCAACACAATGTACCAATTTTTCAGATGTGGAACAAAATTAGTCATACCACTCATTTCCTGTGTGTCACTGCCGTGGCAATAATTCACCACTGAAACAACACAGTTTGTGACTGCGAACAAACACACCAACTAGCAATTCAAACAATATCACAATTATACTGTTATAGTGACAAGCTGGTGGTAGAAAAACAATGACACTTACATGACATTTGTCTGCAAGGAAACCATAAGTTTAAAAGATACATAGTTCATTGCTTCATTTTCTAACATAACTACATTACAAACCACCGTATAACAAGCTCATCCATAACCAAAAACAAAATGCAGCTATTTTAGTGGGGTTTTGTTCTTGCAGACATCAATCAATTGTCAATACTACTAACTCCTCCACCTGTTGGAAAGTCTGTGTTGTTCAAGCTGACATTCTACTTCAACATTTGGGAAGGGGGGGGGGCATCCCCTTGCATGTCATAAAGTGGAGACCTGGTTAATTTAAATAATCCTTTTTTAAATTTTAATATTCACACCTACACAGTAATCGTCTCTCCTTTGGAACTTTAACATACCAACCATATTAAAGGCTTGCTAGACATCAACGACAGTAGCCAGCCGAAGCTTCAAAGGAGACAATGACACAAAAGACAGATAGTATTCATTAATCAAACCAAGGCCAAAACTTACCTTTCAGTGAGGTTTGTGGAGCGGCCCTGGGTCAGCACCCGCCTCCAGAACCAAATGAGCACCCCAAGAACCACAGGGAAGAGGGCTGTCTTTATGGAAAACCAAACCTTGGTGAAACCACCATTCTGGAATATCACCTGGACAAGAGAAGATCTTGCATTCAGAAATGTATCAGCCATTTATTACTTGCCTTCTTTCTTTTTGTCCCCTATATTAGTTTTTCTTGTTCGTTTTTGCATGTGTGATTTACAGCTAAGCCACAATATTTGTACCTTTCGGCCTAGCACTTCTGATTTCACCAAACCCTAATTATCACCTTTTATGATATGTTTGTTATGGGGGCAGTGGGTCTATTCCTTTTGTTTTCCCCTAAAACAGGGAACCTGGAATCCATATTGGGGATCTTGATAATTGAAGGAACATTTTTTTTTATGGAGATCCCACTTTACACATCATGTAGGTACATCAGGGATGTTGACTTCTTTTCTGGCAACAGTGGCTTCGATGATTACCTCTCTCTGCAAGTTCTAATGATGATTACATCCTTGTGGTGCTGTTTGAGTTTCATCAGCTTGGTGTTTAGTACTGATTCAGTGGTCAAGTGTCTCTTTCAGGACTCACAGGAGACATGCTCAGCAGTCTGTCTGCTTTTTTCTGTTTGTGTATAGTGGGTGAAGCTTTGGGTCCACTCAAGAAGAATGGAAAGTAGAACTGGTCAGCTTTATAAGGACATGATCACCAGTGATGAGAAACAAAGTAGTGGTTAAAACACTTTCAATAGCTTTACAATTAAATTTTCTTTTTAAATAGGACACAGATGCACTTGACAGTAGTGAAAGAGAGAGAGAAACAGAGACAAAGAGAAAGAGAGAGAGAAACAGAGACAGAGAGAAAGAGAGAGAGAAACAGAGACAGAGAAACAGAGACAGAGTGAAAGAGAGAGAGAAAGAGAGAGAGAAAGAGAGACAGAGTGAAAGAGAGAGAGAAACAGAGACAGAGAAACAGAGACAGAGAGAAAGAGAGAGACAGAGAGATGAAGTCTTTGCAAGAGACAGAGTGAAAGAGAGAGAGAAACAGAGAGATGAAGTCTTTGCAAGAGACAGAGTGAAAGAGAGAGAGAAACAGAGACAGAGAAACAGAGACAGAGAGAAAGAGAGAGACAGAGAGATGAAGTCTTTGCATGTATTTATTTAAATTAATGGTGCCCTATCCATGTCAGTCAAACTGTGCCAGCCACTACGGGTACTTTTGTGACCAATCTGCAAATGAAAAATACTTGTTACAAACAAGGGAGAAAGAGAACAGAGGACACAAACATTAAGAAACAGAAAGCCGTCCAGGCTACACAATTCAGACACAGTGATTCAAAAAGACTACTACTACCACCACCACCATCAGCAATAGTGGTAGGCAAGTCAGTTCCTTAGGACCATGGAGATGTGCCGATGGTTTGAGGAACTGCGTCTGCTATGACTGTAGTCCAGTGGGGAGTGGTAGTATCCGTCACACAGTCCATAAAAAAATGTTGTTCTAAGGTTGGTTTTCTCTCAGTCATCTCCTCTCCTCTTGATAGCTTGTTGCCTTTGGCGTCTTGAAAACTGCAACAGCCCGTTTTCCATTGTCTGCCTCCATAGGAGACGGTCTGCAGTTGATCTCTCCCAAGTGTGTGTGTCAGTGTTGGTATCATTGAGGTCATGCTTGCATATGTCCTTCCTGCAGATGTGACCCCTGTTGCCAGTTCGCCATAAAGGAGATCCTTTGGAATGTGACCGTCCTCCAAAAGCACAGACATCTTTGCTTCAACAGAAAGTACATTGTTGGCATTCCTCTTTTGAGTACACATCATTGGGAAAAAAGTCTTGCAATGATACACCAAGAATGTGTCTAATACAACGCATGGATATGTGACCACTGGACATGAAGATAAAACACAGAGAAACAATAGCACTCACAAGGATACACCAAGAATGTGTCTAATACAACGCATGGATATGTGACCACTGGACATGAAGATAAAACACAGAGAAACAATAGCACTCACAAGGATACACCAAGAATGTGTCTAATACAACGCATGGATATGTGACCACTGGACATGTAGATAAAACACAGAGAAACAATAGCACTCACGATGATACCAAGATCTTCCATTTCTCCGATATGATTGACCTCTGACTTGACATGCACAGGCAGACGGATGTTAATTAAATAGTAATCATAGTGGACACTGCCCAGCTCAAAGAGGGGCAACAACTCGCACTTGTACATGTTTCCTTCTGATTTCTGAAAGCAGAAAATGTTTGGTACATTCAATTTTTTTCTTCAGTAATGGAAGGGAGGTAGAATGGGGGGGGGGGGGGGCTATCCAGATGATATATTTATTCACTATGTGATTACTTTTCAATAAATTTGTTTCTTTTGTGGTGGAAGGGGGTAAGAGGGGGTGGGGGGAGTGGTCCCTATCCAGATGATACATTTATTCACTAAGTAGTTACTTTGCAATACCTTTGTTTCTTCTGTAGCGGAAGGGGGCAAATGGGGGGGGGGGGGGGGGGGTGGTCCCTATCCAGATGATACATTTATTCACTAAGTAGTTACTTTGCAATACTTTTGTTTCTTCTATCCCAGATGGTTGCTAATTTAACCCATGCTCTTCTAATGTTTACATCAGAAACAGTTGCTAATTTAACCCATACTATCCCAGTGTTTACTTCCATTTCAGGTGGTTGCTAATTTAACCCATGCTGGAGACTAAAACAGACAGAGTAGGTCAGCCAGAAGTCTGTGCAGACAGCATGGCCTATGGACATTGTCTGTGTCAGAAGTGATTGAAAATACATGAGACAGAAGACTGTGGACAGACATACGTACCAATGCCACACAGTGTGAAGTATAAGAAGACGAGAAAGAAATAGTTAATAATTCTGTTTAACCCTTCAAACAGAAATGTTCATCAGTGCAAAAACATGTAGCATTAGCAAGAGCATTAGAAGGCAGCCACCAATGAACATACACTGAATAAGTTCCTAGCCTGCCCATACGAGCAGTCCTTTGAGAAACTGACCACATGAGCAGTCCTTCCAGAAACTGCCCATACGAGCAGTCCTTCGAGAAACTGACGACAACTATAAACTGACCAGAGAAACTAAATACAGACAGACAAGACGGAAAGTTCTGGTTGTTCATCTACTTCTGGACTTTAGTCAAGTTCCAGAACTTATCCATTTGACTGATCTAGCTTAATTTGTTTGCAGACTGTTGATTTCTCATCTTTCAGGCAGATGTACTTGGAAACATCCATAATTAGCTGACTTTTACGACATGTTAGACACAGGGAAAGGGGGAGGGTGGGGAGAATGAGAAGAAAAAAACTGGAAAAGTCAGTGAGAACTCAATGCCAGAAAAGATTCTACACTGTTCTCAACCCAATATACACTAAGCACTTGTCATGTTTAAGGTCAGTCACCTGAACATTAACACATTAGACTCAAAACTTGGAGCTGTATTTTACCATCTAGCCAAGTGTTCAATCATCTTCTTTTTGCTTCTTGTTCTCCGGCTGTAAACTCCAAGAGAATGTTCTGGTTATTCGTTTACGTCATGAACTTCAGTCTTGTTTCAGAACTTGAGTTTTGTGTGCACATCCCTTTTACAGATATGCTTCATTTGTATGCAGACTGTTGGTTCCTCACCTCTCATGAACATGCATTCTGACTTTGAATGCAACACCCCTGATTAGTCAACTATTATCACATGCTTGTTAGGAAGGCAGTGGGTCTATTCTGTGTGCCCCAAAAAGGTGTCTCAGAACTAAAACAGAGTTCAATAACATAGTTATACATGTGCCTAAGACTGTGACAATCTTTTTGACAAGCCGTACATATATATATATATTTGGCTGTAACACTGGTATCACCGTTTCACTATACCTGATAAGACTCAATGGTACAATCATTTCACTATACCTGATGGTACAATCATTTCACTATACCTGATGCAATCATTTCACTATACCTGATGAGGCTCAATGGTGCAATCATTTCACTATACCTGATGAAGCTCAATGGTGCAATCATTTCACTATACCTGATGAAGCTCAATGGTGCAATCATTTCACTATACCTGATTTCACTATACACTGACCTGAGAGCTAAATGGTGCAATCTTTTATACCTGATAAGACTCAACAGTATATACCTGATGAGGCTCAATGGTACAATCATTTCACTATACCTGATGAGGCTCAATGGTGCAATCATTTCACTATACCTGATGAGGCTCAACGGTACAATCATTTCACTATACCTGATGAGACTCAATGGTATAATCATTTCACTATACCTGATGAGGCTCAATGGTGCAATCCAACAAGCGACGTTCTTCCGGAGGAAGCCAGCAGTTTCCAGTCATCTTCATCATCTTCTTTGTCTCGATAGAATAGGTTTGCTGCCAACAGCATCTCAGGCTCCCTTTCCTCAGCTGGGAAAAAGGAAACATTCATAACAAGGTACTTACAACAAGTAAACATTTTACTAACAACATGCCACAGGCTGATGACAGTGACATGTGTGTTCAGTCATCAATACTGGAACAGGTTCAACCAGTAGCCTTCGATCTCACTTGCCTTCCCCTCAATATCACAACCTAGTATATAAGAAGGACTAAGCAGTAAACCAATATGCCATTATGCAACTATCATGTTTCTCTATCTCCCCCTCTCAATCTTGTTTCCAGTGCCCAGCAGTAGTTACTTCAAAGATTTTTATCCCAACATTTGTGGACATAACAAAAATCTGCAGGTCTTCTTCTTCGTAGCATTCACAGGCTGTAGACTCCAGCAGAAAGTTCTGGTTGTTCATCCACTTCTTAGTGTTGCACTAAGTACTCAACTCGAATAGCTGGGTGATAGAAGCTGGACTTCCCATCCAGAAATGGAGAATTTACATCAACAAATCCTGTCTAAAAACAAATAACTTTTCAGAGCACCAGCGGTCAGCCAGCTATCAGTTAAATTGAGGAGTTGCCTGGTACTAAGGGTGTTAATACTTTTAGCACGTGCACCTTCTTTTTCTTCTGTCTTTCATCTCTAACAGACTTCCAACTAGTTCAGACCAAGCCCTTTGTAACATGCTCATGATTGGTTTATTTTGCAGCTACAGTTTTATTCATGATTAGACAGGCAGTCTCACAACAACTCTCTGTGGGTTCTGGGGTCCCACTGTCGCCAAAACAAGAAGAGACCCATGGCCTCCCCAACAAGCATGTCGCAATAAGAGCTTGACTAATTAGGGGCTTCCTTCGAAGTCAAAGTTCATCTACCTTAGAGGCAAGGAACCAACAGTCTGCATTCAAATAAGTCAGATCAGTAAAACAGATGTTCATGCCAACACTTCAGGTTCTGAAACAAGTCCAGAGATGGAACGAACAACAAGAATTCTCCCCTGGAGTTTACAGCCGATGTACATGAAGAAGAAGGACAAAACATCAACACTTCTTAGCTTCCTCTTATGATGTACGTCAGTTTCATTCTGCTTTAATTCCTGTATGGACAAGCATAACAAGGGCAACGTGCAACTTAAGACATGAAAACCAAAAGAAAAAACATGTTAAAATGAAATTAGGACAAAAAAAGAAGCAGCAACAGTCAGTCATTCACCCTACAAGCATGTATCACAAACAATATACTTACGATAAGCATTTTTTTCACTGAACTTGACGCTGATATCAACAACTGCAATCATGTTCTGGAACCAGCGTGACATATCCAGGAAGTGATCATCCCGCGGCAGGGGGAAGATCTGAGCAAAGACAACCTGGTTGGCATCTATATGCTCCGATTCAATGGCCTGCATGGAACACAGAGATGTATGTAAAAATCATGTCAAAATGGTTGAAATCAATACATGACATGTCTATGAGTGTCTTGCATAATCAAGTGTGGAAGGAAGGACAGAGATGACACATATACAAGTATACTTGCCATAGCAAGAGGGAGGCAACAGGACATCAAGCAAGAGGGAGGCAACAGGACATCAAGCAAGAGGGAGGCAACAGGACATCAACAAGAGGGAAGAAACAGGACATCAAGCAAGAGGGAGGAAACAGGACATCAAGCAAGAGGGAGGCAACAGGACACCAAGCAAGAGGGAGGCAACAAGACATCAAGCAAGAGGGAGGCTACAGGACATCAAACAAAAGGGAAGCAACAGGACATCAAGCACGAGGAAGGCAAGAGGACATCAAGCAAGAGGGAGGAAACAGGACATCAAACAAGAGGAAGGCAGCAGGACATCAAGCAAGAGGGAGGCAACAGAACATCAAGCAAGAGGGAAGCAACAGGACATCAAGCGAGAGGGAGGAAACAGGACATCAAGCAAGAGGGAGGAAACAGGACATCAAGCAAGAGGGAGGCAACAGGACATTAAGCAAGAGGGAGGCAACAAGACATCAAGCAAGAGGGAGGCAACAGGACATCAAGCAAGAGGGAGGAAACAGGACATCAAGCAAGAGGGAGGCAACAGGACATCAAGCAAGAGGGAGGCAACAGGACATCAAGCAAGAGGGAGGCAACAAGACTTCAAGCAAGAGGAAGGCAACAGGACATCAAACAAGAGGAAGGCAACAGGACATCAAACAAGAGGAAGGAAACAGGACATCAAGCAAGAGGGAGGCAACAGGACACCAAGCAAGAGGGAGGCAACAAGACATCAAGCAAGAGGGAGGCAACAGGACATCAAGCAAGAGGGAGGCAACAGGACATCAAGCAAGAGGGAGGCAACAGGACATCAAGCAAGAGGGAGGCAACAGGACATCAAGCAAGAGGGAGGCAACATGACATCAAGCAAGAGGGAGGCAATAGGACATCAAGCAAGAGGGAGGAAACAGGACATCAAGCAAGAGGGAGGCAACAGGACATCAAGCAAGAGGAAGGCAACAGGCTTTTGTGAGAGGCTAACTTTAAGAGAAGAGTCCATGTTACACTGTACAGCCATTGTGAGAAACAGAGATAGTAGAGCTCCATTACAGCTAAATTTTGTTGCCAAGATGGCAACTGATCTGATGAATCCTATCATTCAACTAAGGCAGAATCATTATACAGCTGTTCTAAGATTTAAAAAAAAACAGCCATACTATTACTGTGATGCAATGACCAAGCTACTTGTTTCTCTGCGTCGAAAAGCCATAAAACAGTCAGGAAGACAGATGGTCGTCATATCACAAATAATTAGACAATGTAATCATGAAATCCTGGTTAATTCTTGTAATTCTATGCTGAATTACAGATGGGTAGAGAATGCTGGGGTTAGCCTCTACTATGATTTATAGATGAGTGCAAGCAGGTATTAAGGTGAACTCATGGGAAGATCATGGCATGGATTGCACATTTATAGATGAGTGCAAGCAGGTATTAAGGTGAACTCATGGGAAGTGCATGGCATGGATTGCACATTTATAGATGTGTGCAAGCAGGTATTAAGGTGAACTCATGGGAAGTGCATGGCATGGATTGCACATTTATAGATGAGTGCAAGCAGGTATAAAGGTGGACTCATGGGAAGTGCATGGCATGGATTGCACATTTATAGATGTGTGCAAGCAGGTATTAAGGTGAACTCATGGGAAGATCATGGCATGGATTGCACATTTATAGATGAGTGCAAGCAGGTGTTAAGGTGGACTCATGGGAAGAGCACGGCATGGATTGCACATTTATAGATGTGTGCAAGCAGGTATAAAGGTGGACTCATGGGAAGTGCATGGCATGGATTGCACATTTATAGATGTGTGCAAGCAGGTATTAAGGTGAACTCATGGGAAGTGCATGGCATGGATTGCACATTTATAGATGTGTGCAAGCAGGTATTAAGGTGAACTCACGGGAAGAGCATGGCATGGATTGCACATTTATAGAGTGTGCAAGGGTGTAAGGTGAACTCATGGGAAAGCAGATGGATTGCACATTCTAGATAAGTGCAAGCAGGTGTTAAGGTGAACTATTTGCAGTGGCATGGATTGCACATTTACACAGTGCAAGCAGAGATGCAACTCATGTACTCAGGGATTGCACTATTAAGTGCAGTGGGGTTACTCACAGTAAGAGAGATTATAGATGAGTGCAAGCAGGTATTAAGGTATCACTATCACTATTTGCAGTGGGGTTACACAGTCAAAGAGATGCAACTCTGTACTCAGGTATCACTATTTGCAGTGGGGCTACGCAGTCAAAGAGATGCAATTCTGTACTCAGGCATCCCTATTTGCAGTGGGGTTACACAGTCAGAGAGATGCAATTCTGTACTCAGGTATCACTATTTGCAGTGGGGTTACACAGTCAGAGAGATGCAATTCTGTACTCAGGTATCACTATTTGCAGTGGGGTTACACAGTCAGAGAGATGCAATTCTGTACTCAGGTATCACTATTTGCAGTGGGGTTACACAGTCAGAGAGATGCAATTCTGTACTCAGGTATCACTATTTGCAGTGGGGTTACACAGTCAGAGAGATGCAATTCTGTACTCAGGTATCACTATTTGCAGTGGGGTTACACAGTCAGAGAGATGCAATTCTGTACTCAGGTATCACTATTTGCAGTGGGGTTACACAGTCAGAGAGATGCAATTCTGTACTCAGGTATCACTATTTGCAGTGGGGTTACACAGTCAGAGAGATGCAATTCTGTACTCAGGTATCACTATTTGCAGTGGGGTTACACAGTCAGAGAGATGCAATTCTGTACTCAGGTATCACTATTTGCAGTGGGGTTACACAGTCAGAGAGATGCAATTCTGTACTCAGGTATCACTATTTGCAGTGGGGTTACACAGTCAGAGAGATGCAATTCTGTACTCAGGTATCACTATTTGCAGTGGGGTTACACAGTCAGAGAGATGCAATTCTGTACTCAGGTATCACTATTTGCAGTGGGGTTACACAGTCAGAGAGATGCAATTCTGTACTCAGGTATCACTATTTGCAGTGGGGTTACACAGTCAGAGAGATGCAATTCTGTACTCAGGTATCACTATTTGCAGTGGGGTTACACAGTCAGAGAGATGCAATTCTGTACTCAGGTATCACTATTTGCAGTGGGGTTACACAGTCAGAGAGATGCAATTCTGTACTCAGGTATCACTATTTGCAGTGGGGGTTACACAGTCAGAGAGATGCAACTCTGTACTCAGGTATCACTATTTGCAGTGGGGTTACACAGTCAGAGAGATGCAATTCTGTACTCAGGTATCACTATTTGCAGTGGGGTTACACAGTCAGAGAGATGCAATTCTGTACTCAGGTATCACTATTTACAGTAGGGTTACACAGTCAGAGAGATGCAATTCTGTACTCAGGTATAACTATTTGCAGTGGGGTTACACAGTCAGAGAGATGCAATTCTGTACTCAGGTATCACTATTTGCAGTGGGGTTACACAGTCAGAGAGATGCAATTCTGTACTCAGGTATCACTATTTGCAGTGGGGCTACACAGTCAGAGAGATGCAATTCTGTACTCAGGTATCACTATTTGCAGTGGGGTTACACAGTCAGAGAGATGCAACTCTGTACTCAGGTATCACTATTTGCAGTGGGGTTACACAGTCAGAGAGATGCAATTCTGTACTCAGGTATCACTATTTGCAGTGGGGTTACACAGTCAGAGAGATGCAATTCTCATAGGCAAACATTCCTACAAAGGTCCAGAATTACTTACAGTGGGGTTACACATTCAGAGAGATGCAACTCTCATGGGCAAACATTCCTACAAAGGTCCAGAATTACTTACAGGGTCATGAAAAGAGTTCACTACATGGCACTGCTTTTTGCCGCCCCTGGGAACAAACGCTGTGATGTCCTTGATGCTTTTCTTCTGCCAAACTTGCTCTAAGTCGATGCACTTTATAGCGATTGAAGGGATGACACTGTTTGGTGCAGGAGCTTCACACAAATAAATAAATGACATGAGCAATTAATGGTCATTCACACAAATAAATAAATGACATCAGCATTTAATGGTCATTCACAAAAATAAATAAATGATAACAGCAGTTAATGGTCATTCACACAAATAAATAAATGACAACAGCAATTATTGGTCATTCACACAAATAAATAAATGACAACAGCAATTATTGGTCATTCACACAAATAAATAAATGACAACAGCAATTATTGGTCATTCACACAAATAAATAAATGACAACAGCAATTAATGGTCATTAACACAAATAAATAAATGACAACAGCAATTATTGGTCATTCACACAAATAAATAAATGACAACAGCAATTAATGGTCATTCACACAAATAAATAAATGACATCAGCAATTAATGGTCATTCACACAAATAAATAAATGACAACAGCAGTTTATGGTCATTCACACAAATAAATCAGAGAATTTCTACTTCTTCCTCTTCTTCTTCGCGTTTACCAGCTGTAAACTTAGGCAGAAGGTTCTGGTTTCTGTCCATTTCTAAACTTTGTTAGTTCTCCAGAACTTGAGTTCTGTATGCACATCCATTTGACAGATCTGGCTTATTTGTGTGCAGACTGTCAATTCCTTGCCTCTTGAGTAGGTGCCCTCCAACTTTTGGTTTCTGAGCTTGGAGATAGGAAGAAGTCCTCTGCAGCAGGTTATGTGATTGTGTTACTTTGTATCAGAAAAGTATGTCATTCTGAGAGACGCAAGCGACTTCCCGCGTTGATTGTGCATAAACAGGAGTGACTGTAATCAAGCTGTTAGGGTATATTTTCGGCCTCGATAATTTGGGAAGTATTAGGAACATAGCCAAATTTTGTCTTGCTAAACCCCTGCTGAATCTTTTTTTTTTCCACTACTTAACAGCAGTAAACACTGACATATCATTAAATTCAAAATGTACATTCATTCCTCTGTAGGAGAATGGATGAGCTTGAGCAGGGCTTAGAAATGTATATTACATTCTATACTATCCTTTATTTTACACCATCCCCTGTCCCATTCATTCTTTGTAAAGGAAAGGAAAATCACAAAAATGATTTAATTTATTAACTCTAGCAAAGTCCGTAAAAATCTCTGGTCCTGGAAGCGTGAATGTGCAACCAGTTAGTGATTTGCGCATCAACTCACCAACAAGACCACCAATAAGGAAAAACACAGTCAGAATGATAATGAGCGAAACGCTGAGGATGGTCAGTTTCTTGTTGCTGAGTGTCTCCAGCACCACGCCCGCCATGTTGTCTGTCTGCTGCGAGTGTTCACTTTTGGTCCGGCCAGGGCTGCCAATAGTATTTTTTTTAAAAACCAGCTAAGCTAAACAAAAACCCAAGCATTAGATAAGCAAAGAAATAAAAACAAAATAAAAAAACCTGAATTGTTAAAAAGTAAAAATTGTATAGTTACGAATCAAAACATGTACCCACTTTTATATAAGGATATTTTTCTTTTAAACCCAGATTTCAAAATTTGAACCCAAGGCGTCAAATAAAAACCCAGATCTGGGGGTAAAAACCCATCATTGGCAACCTGGGTCCGGCCAGGGGTTCAATGCTGGCATCGATACCTTCACTTTATCATCATCGAGTGCCGCGCCTATAAGTGTTCGGACCTGGAAATAGGATACAAAATAATTTAAACTTTTGATGGCAAGTCAAATACACCAGTCTTATATAAATAGAAGGGGAAAGCCAAAGATTATAAGAATAATTAGCACTCTTCCGAATACCGGTCCCAAATTATTCACTGCGAAAAAATCCCTTTGAGAGACTCAAGAGGTTATGTAGTAAAAACATTTTGGCCATCATGATCAGTTGCTACTTCTGCGTTTATTGCACGACAGGTAGCAATGTTTAGACGTTACGGTAAGCACCGTGGGGAGGAATAGTTTTCGATTTATTGAAGAGGAGAGGAATAGATTTTGATCCATTGTTTAAGTATTGTGGGGAAGAGTAGTTTTGGATCCATTGTTTGTATTACCCGTGTCTCGACTTGTGGGTTCCAAGGTTACATGTTTAAGAAAAAAAAAAAAAAAAGAAAAGAAGAACAGATCCACTGCCACCTAAAAAGCATGCTGTAAAAGGCGACTAAATAGGACTTTGTTGAAACCGGATGTTTTGTGGTGAAAGGCGCAGATATCACAGCCTAGCTGTGAACCACAAAGCTGAGCTATATGTGCAGATTTTGCAGCCTACCTGCAACACATTTAGCCCTTTTAAGGGCTAAAAATAATTCTCACACGGCGGGCAATCGTACACCGGTCACCAGCGTGACAGGCGGAATACTTATACCTGCACTACCGAAGACTCATAGAGTTTAATTCCATAAACACAATGGTGTCCTGTGACGGCAGAGTTTTTCTAATAAAAAAAAATATCTGGCGGAAAGTTCTGGTTGTCTGTCCACTTCTGGACTTTTGCCTTTTCCAAACATTGTGTACGCAAACCATTTTATTGATCTAGTTATTTATATGTTCCATTTTCACCTTTCCAGAAGGTAGTGTTTAATTGTACTATGAGGAGGCATCGGACTCACAGCCCGTGGCTATGGCGAGTATGACTAGCAAGACCCGCCTGCATAAGGAAAGACTTTCCACAATTATAGCATGGGATTTTAGGACCGTTGTTGTCAACATTTGTATTTGGTGTGTTTCTTCTCAGACCCTCATCTCTTATTCTTTCTGCAATCATTCTTCCTTCATTCTCATTCCCTTCCTGGTGTGCCCCTCCACATAACACGGTCCATGGCATTTTGTTCCAACGAGTCAACCTCAAAACGTGTATCTTGCATGTCCCTCTTGCATACATCTTTGTATCGCAGTAGGAGCTAGCCTCGACATCTTCTCCAGCTCTTCACTGTCAATTTAGACTGTAGGTCTATCATTACACCTTGCACCATAACCCTTGTCTTCTTTTTGTTGATTATCAGTCAAAATTCACAGCTTTAACAAAGATTATATAGGAAAAATTCCGCCTCCCCCTCCCTAATGGGGTGGATTTTGTCAGTTATCACTACTGGTGCGTTCTTACTTCGACGATGGTGCTCTTTCCATAATCCGGAAAATCCATAATTCATCGTCTTTTTACGACCTGCTTGAAAGGCAGTGAGGTCCACCCCCCCCCCCCCCCCCCATGAGACCCAGAAAGCCACACGGAGAAAGAATAAATCAAACAAATAATAATACAATCTGCTTCTGTCAGAAGGTGACACAACATACAATTTAGAAATGTCAACAAACATGACGGGGTAAATCAAGACGTAAAAAACATATACAGAAGGCAAAAGGATCTTTCACAATACTACGGAATCTATCGGAAGGATATATTGGACGAATGAACCAGCAGATAGGCATGACCTGTCTCCGGAGTGTCTTACACTGGGGAGGTACGTCAGCAAGATTCAGATTCCCGCCACTAAAGACATGAAGATAATGGCACTGATTGATCAGCATTCACACAAAGGAGACATCGTCATTAATACAGATAGGTCAGTGAAGCGCGGGTCAAGGTCAGCGTGGGCATGCACAACACAAATGTCGGGATAAGCAACAGAAGATGATAATGGCGGTTACCAGGCAACTGCGTCAGGCATAACCATGCAGATAGCCGCTGTTTCTAGAACACTCGCATAATTAGCAGAACAAGCAGTCACACGTACATTAATAGTTGCAGACTTCCTAGACATGCTTCAGAAAATAGCTGCAGGTCGTCTATTCTCTGAAGGTATAGGACGCATTCGGAAGTCGCAGTCAACATCCCTCATTTAGATCTACACACCTGGGCATGCAGAAGTAAAAGGTAATGAACCAGATGACAAGCAACGCACCAGAAGCATGGGCAGAGCTGATATTATCAACGCTGTACGGACTATGTTGGTAACGAGAATTGATCTCTGACGCTAAACAATTGCGTGACCTTGGAGTAGAACATGGTAAAGCACGTCTATACCATCTTCTAGTTTAAGACAGGAGACACTATAACCAGCTTCCCGTCGGAACAATAAGTAGAGGTACCATTGAGTTGCTGCTGCATCGAAGAACTGAGCACGCATGGGAATGCCCAGTGTGGTGTAACGTCGATGTGTAATTGTGTTTGTGGGAGGGTGTGTAGGCCCTAATGGTCGTATGTGTGCCCTTTCTAATGAGCTGTGTAAGTTGATCCTAATTTTTTCTTTCCACGCTATCTCTTCGTCTTCTACTTGTTCTTCGCCTTGCTCTATGCTTTCTATAGTTCTTTAAATGCCGTGGTTTACAGAAACATAGAGGCAGTAAGTGAAGGACGTGTTTCCTATTTGGTTGAGTTTTTCTTTTGAGTTTATTTAATAATCTACTTCGCCTTATTTAACTGTTACTTTAGTAAGCGCCTGACGAGATCCAGCGAAACACAACAAACAATAAATTGTAAAATTTATTGTTTGTGTTTTCTCTGTTGAAATTTACAACGGCGAAACATTGATTCTTTAACACTTCATACGCTAAGGATGTTGGCCCGGTACAGTATCGATACATCTTCTTTCTCTCTGCTCCAGCAAGTCTTGGTATGCGGCTGTTCCTATTTGGGTTGATTAAAAGTCTTTGTTCTATGGAATGTGAAAAACAAACCACAATGACATTCTTGCCCTTTTAGTCGTCCATGTACATAAATCACAGTGACTGGTACGTACGTCTGCTCTAAGTTTTCAGCAAGTCTTGGTATGCGGATGTACGTATCAATGAGAACTGAAAGTCTTTGTTTATGGGGCGTCGTTTACGTAGATAGAGTTGATAGATCCCTGTCTGCGATCGGCGGTCCGCACAACTAGCACGCGCACACACACACATGCAAGATGCGAGACAACAATTTCAAGACCAGTCGTTTGAAGTTTGCTGCATTGTTTTAGCGGCCAAAACAGACAATTAGCAAACAAACAAACCGACTGGACAGTTATACTGCGTTCAGAAAATCACCAACATTCAAAGAAAAAAAACACAATTGTTTGATTCCAGTATTTTTATTGTCTTGGATACCGATTATTTAAATCTTAAACAGCATTAAAATATCGGCTCTCCTCCGAACTTCTACCCCATATTATGGCGGCCAAACAAATACCCTAAAAGGGCCTCAGTCATATGTAAAATGAGGACTTCCTGCAACGAACACATCGCGGCAAAACTAGAATTATTTGGCAATTTCAAGACACGCAACACTTCAGACGATAGTAGCAGACGATACTAGCGACCATTGACAATTTCGAGACACGCAACATTACAGACGATAATAGCGACATGGCGGGGAGACCACGTGCTCCGACGCAGATTAGCGTCGTTGTTGTCCTCACACTTTTCGGCATGCGCAAAACGCGGTTAAACTCACCGCTGACAGCATCCTCCGCTGTTCTAAACTAGATGTCTGGGACTCACGAGCAAATAAATTAGAGGAAGTTGCAGGAGATGCGGTAGCTGCTGCTCGTGAGTCTCAGACTTCTAGTTTACCCCCCCCCCCCCCCCCCTCCGCGCTGCGCGTAGCGGTCGGTGGTGCGGCATAGTCACAGAAACAGGTCCGCAATTAACATATCGCTGAGACCCTGTTAGAGCATTTGTTTCGTTATTCGGAGACGATCCTAGTTTGGCCGCGATCTGTTCCTCGGCAGAAAGTCCCAATTTTGCATAGGACTGAGGCCCTGTTAGGGTATTCGTTTGGCCGCCATAATATGGGGTAGAAGTTCGGAGGAGAGCCAAAAAATCTTTTGTTAACCACCGGGAGGAAAATCAAAGTTGAAATTGTTGATCATACATCTTCCCTATAGCAACAAACGGATGTGAGTCATGGACTATCTCTCAGTTTTTAAGGAAGACAACAGGGTCTTTTGAACTGAAACGCTATGGAAAGATTATCAAAATATCATCGACAAAGAAGAAAAGAAATACTGGCATTCTATAAGATTTGGACATCAAGAAAGATTGTCTAATAAACAGCATCTTGTCACGGAAGCTAAAATATTTTGGCTACATCAAACACCAGGGCGGGCTGGGAGGGAGGGGAGTGGGGCGGGGGGGGGGAGGGGGGGTAATAGCAGAAGTCAGCTCAGGCAGACTGTGATGAGAGCGACATTTTGCACAGGACATGATACATGATGATGATAACCCACTGTTTCCTGATTGTAGCTCCACTCCGTAAAGCGTCCGTTAAACTTCTGAATTATATTTGTCAGTTTTCTTCTTCTTCTACTTCTTTCGTTCGCCTGAAATAAGTTGTCTATATC